ATGTCAAAGACAGTCACGAACCGTAGAAGTTAAAGACAGACATGTACCATAGATGTCAAAGACAGACACGTACTATAGATGTCAAAGACAGACACGAACCGTAGAAGTTAAAGACAGACAAGTACCATAGATGTAAAAGACAGACACGTACTATAGATGTCAAAGACAGACTCGTACTATAGATGTCAAAGACAGACACGTACTATACATGTAGATGCCAAAGACAGACACGCACCATAGATGTCAAAATAGAAGTTAAAGTCAGACATGTACCATAGATGCCAAAGACAGACACGCACCATAGATGTCAAAGCCAGACATGTACCATAGGTGGCAAAGACAGACATGTACCGTAGAAGTCAAAGACAGACTCGTACTTTAGATGTCAAAGACAAACATGTACCATAGAAGTTAAAGACAGACACGTACCATAGAAGTTAAAGACAGACACGTACTATAGAAGTTAAAGTCAGACATGTACCATAGAAGTTAAAGACAGACATGTACCATAGATGTCAAAGACAGACATGTACCATAGAAGTCAAAGACAGACACGTACCATAGGTGTCAAAGACAGACAAGTACTAGAGAAGTTAAAGACAGACATGTACCATAGATGTCAAAGACAGACACGTACCGTAGATGTCAAAGACAGACATGTACTATAGAAGTTAAAGACAGACACGTACCGTAGAAGTTAAAGACAGACACGTACCAAAGATGTCAAAGACAGACACGTTCCATAGATGTCAAAGACAGACCCGTACCATAGGTGTCAAAGACAGACACGTCCTATAGATGTCAAAGACAGACATGTACTAGGTGTCAAAGACAGACAAGTACTAGAGAAGTCAAAGACAGACATGTACCATAGAAGTCAAAGACAGACATGTACCATAGGGGTCAAAGACAGACATGTACCATAGAAGTCAAAGACAGACACGTACTATACATGTAGATGTCAAAGACAGACACGTACTATACATGTCAAAGACAGACAAGTACTATAGGTGTCAAAGACAGACAAGTACTATAGGTGTCAAAGACAGACACGTACCATAGATATCCAAGACAGACACGTACCATAGATGTCAAAGACAAGACACGTACTATAGATGTCAAAGACAGACACGTACTGTACATGTAGATGTCAAAGACAGACACGTACTATACATGTCAAAGACAGACATGTACCATAGGTGTCAAAGACAGACAAGTACTATAGGTGTCAAAGACAGACACGTACCATAGATGTCAAAGACAGACACGTACTATAGAAGTTTAAGACAGACACGTACCATAGGTGTCAAAGACAGACACGTACAGTTGTGGGACCGCACAACGCACCAAAAATAGCGAGCGCACACCGTGCATACATCGTTCACACACCGTCCGCACACATCGTTCACACATGGTGCGCACAACTGTGCGATTTAGCAATCGTTCGCACCGTTGTGCGCTTCTCTCCGCGCAACTGTGCGATTTGGTATCATTTGTAGATCAAAATTACGGAATGACAAAAATACGGAAATCTTGTATACGATAATGTACACTGTGTATATATCTGTAATTTCTCATCACAATAATCAAGGTTATACAATTTCACAATGCGAGTTACACAGTATTACAGCGACCGTTAGGCTGTCAAGAATGGGTTTGGCTCCAAGGTAACAGAACAGGTAAATAACAATTTTATGAGTGTCCGGAGTTTTACCTGACCAGTGCCTGACACACAGAGCTGATATGCGATACCGTTTGACCGTAATGAAAAGTATTTGTTATTTGCATTCGTTTGCCTATAGCTCCCCTTCACATGGATTTTCACACCCCCGGCCTTACCCGACGAGTTACGTAAATGCCCCAGGCGGGGAGAAAACTACGGTCCAGGTACATGTACAAAGTGGTTATGTTTACCTGTATACGGGATTGTGTTGTAATTTTACATGTGTCGATTAAGTTTGTTTAGAAACACAGAAAACCCAATTCCTAAATATAAAAATATATAGACAGAAAGATAAGTTTATAGATGTTGCTAGAATATAGAAACATACGTAAACATCAAGTTTATATGTTTAAACACGAAACCGTATAAATTGTTAAGGCATTCCTCAATTTACACCAACCACGATTGTTATCGCCCAACGTCCGTCCATCGTGCGCACATATGTGCGCAAGCAATGATCGTTCAGCTTTTTATCGTTCGCCCATCGTGCACACACCGTTCACACCCCGTGCACACATTGTGCGCACACCGCACATCGTGTAACGTTATGCGATCCCACAACTGTACCATAGGTGTCAAAGACAGACACGTTCAGTTGTGGGACCGCACAACGCACCAAAAATAGCGAGCGCACACCGTGCATTCATCGTTCACACACCGTCCGCACATCGTCAACACATGGTGCGCACAACTGTGCGATTTAGCAATCGTTTGTAGATCAAAATTACGGAATGACAAAAATACGGAAGGCTTGTATGCGATAATGTACACTGTGTATATATCTGTAATTTCTCATCACAATAATCAAGATTATACAATTTCACAATGCGTGTTACACAGTATTACAGCGACCGTTACGCTGTCAAGAATGGGTTTGGCTCCAAGGTAACAGAACAGTACCATAGAAGTTAAAGACAGACATGTACCATAGATGTCAAAGACAGACACGTACCATAGGTGTCAAAGACAGACACGTACTATAGAAGTTAAAGACAGACACGTACCATAGATATCCAAGACAGACACGTACCATAGAAGTTAAAGACAGACACGTACCATAGATGTCAAAGACAGACACGTACCATAGATGTCAAAGACAGACACGTACTATAGAAGTCAAAGACAGACACGTACCGGAATGAGGAGAATTCTGAAGCCGTGAAAGCCTCGTTACTGCCCTTGTCTAACATTTGGTGCATTTCGTCTAATGATGACGATGCTTTTATATACAAAATCATCAAGAGACCTTACTTAATGACCGTTACTTGAATATGTAAATAGGGATCGATAAACATGACTTATTGTCTGAAGTCTCGTCGGGGATAACTATTAAATGATTTCCAGTAATTAAATAAGTTAATAAGTAGTTAAGTTATATTGAACGGGGGCCCAGTTTCCTTCTCTGGATCTTTGGTGCGACACCCAAAGAACCAGAGGTCTCCCGAATACATGTGCAGGTACCTAGGAAACTACTACTAGACAAATTGGTTAGCGTCGCCGCAACATTGATTATAAACAGGAACGAAGCTTTCACGGCTTCAGCATTCTCCTCGTCCAAGCCATACTAAAACCCATATAAAATAGCATGACATTTCTATTGGGCCGCCAGAAAGCATATGACATATAAATACTGGTCATATTGTATATTCACTTATACCTCGCCAAGCTCGGCATGACAACACCTAGTAGCTGTAAGAGACGCTTCCAGTCGAATTGGAATCAGGTCGCATGTAGCATGGGCGATACGAGCCATTATTCAATTTCGTAAACATTTTTTGTCAGTATATTGGCAATAAATCTCACATGTAGCATGTGAGCAAAGTACGTGTATTAGTTCGCTTATAACCTCGTCCGGATGTCTTAGAAGTTGTTTTATTGAAGACAAGATATCCCTAATTTAATCTCCTAAAAGTACGTAGTATTTGGCTCCACTCAAGCTTCCTTAAAACCCTGCTTTGAAAATGCTACGCGGTAAAGCAGCCGCTTTACAGCCTTATATCCATCCACCGTCAGATGGATTTATATAAATCATGGATCATGGACCCGCTCAAATGTGGAAGATTAAGCGGGTCCCTACAAACGTACCACCAATCTAGATTAATCTATGCAAAAAATGGAAAGAAAAAGAACTGCGATTAAAAGTGTGTAACATATATTCTACCTTCAAAAGGAGGAGTGCGATATCGCTTTACACCATCTGAAACCCGCCATAATATACATGCAAAACAAGAACATCACAAGCACATCCCGTCTGTACTATCAGTTTTATAGATCAGATCATTGGAGTATCGGACGATCTCTGTAAACCTCCGATAGAGGGCGGACGAGCAGTGGACCGACACACGGCTAATCCACATTTGCATACCGGCTAGGGTGCTGAAAACTTGCCAAATCATACCGCTATATCACACGTAAGAGTACTCGTCATGAAAAGGATGATCACTGCCCTGATAGCTGCCCAAATATGCTGAAAACATGATTTCAAGATAGCACACAAGATGGGCTCAGTGATAATATTAAAAACTAATATTGTAAGAAATTCCAGCTCTGTCGGTAGACATTAGTTTTTGCCTGTTTTTTCCCTTCTGAATAATACGTTATCACTGAGCGGCTATAGACCTCAGCACCAAAGAAAAGCTGACATGCATACATTAGTTACCCCTCATAAAATATCACTACTCCGTATAATTTATATTCAGAACAGTTTCCCATTGACATTCATCTTCTTTAAACATTTCTATATCAAAATAAAGCATCACGCTTATAAGCGATGGTACTTTGTTGCCAGACTTCATTGTCAAATTATCCAATCCCCGGTCTTAACATAAACAACAACTGAAATATGCACCAGTGTTAACATAAACAACACCAACTGAAATATGTACCAGTGTTAACATAAACACCAAATGAAATATGTACCAGTGTTAACATAAACAACACCAAACTAAATATGTACCAGTGTTAACATAAACAACACCAAACTAAATATGTACCAGTGTTAACATAAACAACACCAAACTAAATATGTAATGAAGACGAGCAACGCTTTTGAGATGTAATACTTATTATATCGCTATCCGATTTATAGGACTGTTACTTTGGATATACAGTTCATGTCATTATCGGCCAACTGTACACAGCGTTATGTTTATGACGTCAATGTTATAATGACGTGTAATCATCAGACAAGATATATGTTCTCTTAAACAGTTAACTGTGTTAAGGTGATATAGCGGCAACGGTATCATACAGATGAACATAAGCATGAACTCTATTATTTAGAAAAACAATATTTTATTAATAAACTTTTTTTGCCATAGTACAATATCAACAACTTTGAAAAGATTGCCTCCTAATAGGGTGGCCTTATAATGCAATGCTGACACCCTGTCTCGAGAGGAGCCTTCCAAGTCGCTCTAATTATTGCTTCCAAGATCAACCACCAAGGGACGCTTTTCTCAAGACAGGACGCCTTTAAATCAGTGTTTTACAAAACTGTTTTAAAGATGCAACTATCTGTCGCATCTAGCACTATAATAATTATACATTAATGTACTTTTTCATAATTTCACAAACATACACATTTATCATTTGACATACATCCTTCACGTTTAAAACTTCCACAGTTTAGTACTACCCGTGTACCTCGAATCCAAGTGCCCACACATTAAACATCAAGTGCTCCTCACATCTCAAACCAAATGTATCTCGCATCAACTTCCGTTCACATCTCACACCAACTTCCGGTCATACGTCACTAATGGGTTTTGGCATTTTTTTGTAGTTCATCATAACAGAATGAATGCCGTGTTTACATAATAAAACACAGTTATTTAGAAATTTGTGTCTGCTTACTCGGGGAAACAAACATTTTATATAAACAACTCGAAACAAAAGTTCTTAAGATGGAAATGACCTAAATACTACAACAAATTAACACCAGGAAACCCGTTAATCCGCAATATAGAATCCTCAAGATTAATAACCAGTAATCGTTACATAGAAAGTCACTCAGTTACCGTGTAACACTGTTCAGGTAGCGCATTAATATTCGGATTAAAGAGTTTCCTTCGTTAAATTGTGACTCTTTGTGATCTAGGTAAACAATAAATAACTGAAAAAATATCGGGCAATATTTCGCTTGAAATCTGTGTCGACCTACATAGCGTGATAGGAAGAGTTTACATCTGAACAAAGCGGGTTGATCGGCGACATCAAAGTACGACTCTTACAATGTCTGCCGATTAAATCCATTTAACGTATGAATATATTTCTAATTTTCCAGGACATCGAAATGAAATTGTATAGACAACTAGTCATAGCTGTATTTAAACAGAAGTAGTAGTTTATATCTAGATAGTGTGAAACACGTGCTTAACCCCTGCAGTGTGGACTGGCTACGTACGTCAAACGTTTCCTTTGTCGGAGAAAGTTATTCTCCAAATGATATAAAAGGCTGCTTCATCATTAGTAATAATTTATTTACCTTGGCGATATATGAATTATTTTACATGAAAATAAGTTAAATAAATACCAAAGTACATATAAAATTTTAATATGTTTCCTGACAATTTATACGTTAATGTGAAATTCCTATGTGGTGTATTTGTGCGAGTCCAGTGATCCAGGCCTGAAGAACACTGTGATTTATGTGTGTTTATTTCCCCTTGAACGTCAGGTTCGGGGTTTCATTAGCACGGCGAATATCATAAATACTATTTTTGTTGATTTTGGGCAGATAAATCATGATGAAAGATCTACAAGGCCATGGAACGGAACAGTATCGACAAAAACAAACATGTTTGCTTTCATGAAGCAGACTGTTGAAAAAATATTTAGTGTAGTACTTTTAGATCAAAGACTTATCATAAATCTATGCTCATATTTGTTGAGAGGTAATGGCCCTCCCAGGACAAAGCTATTCAGCGCCATTGTTATAAATCGTTTAAGTGCCCAGAATAAATACGATTTTCTATTCGAACCACATAATGAATACGGCTTCAATATTTCGATTCCATAATACTAAGGTTTACAATCTTCTGACGATCCTTTATAAAATAATTTCACTAAAAAGCCTAGCCTATACCAATACCCTCTACAGGTAAAAAGTACCCATACCCTCTACAGGTAAAAAGTACCCATACCCTCTACAGGTAAAAAGTGTTGATAACTATCTGATTGACCTTGTATGAATGACGGTTAATTAAAACGACCGAAATCAATGAAAAATTGTTAGAAAAATGATAAAAATTGAAGCTAGATTCTAATTAGTGCACGAGATAACCATCCGACACATCTTTAGAAGTTAATTACAGTACTGTAGCTCTGTCTGTGTGTGTGTGTGTGTGTGTGTGTGTGTGTGTGTGTGAGGGGGGAGGGGTCCCATAGGGTTGGCAATTCTTTGCATGCTATACAAAAATCAAAATCAAAATTTCGAAGTTTATCGATTATTTGGACCTTATGTAACGCTAGTTTCACGAGAGGCCATATATTTCTCTGGGTACTATACTATCAAACTACAGTATCATAACGGTAGACAGAATTCATCTAGTTTATAGCAAGATCTAATAAAAAGATTGAGAATGACTTTTAACTGTTCCTCATACGCAGCCAGACACCAGCTGTTGACCAACGTCAATACTGACTCCCATGGATTTTGTTATCATATGTTGTACACATTTCATTTTCGGTGATTTAAATAAATAAAAAGTATGCCACGCAGTTTAGGTATATATTACAATATACTCGTCTGCATCTAAATAGCTAATGTTATGAATACATTAAACTTGTGCATGCGAGGTTAGGTTATGAGTGAGAAATGGCTTACACCCTTGCAGTAGATGGCGTATTAATTTGAATTAATTATCAGGACGTAGAAATAATTAAAAAATCTGACTTAACAGGCATATTAATTACGTTAATTATATACATTATGTCGACGTAGATTTGTGGTTATACGTGCTTTCTAAACGTCTAACATAAATAGAAATTCTTACCAAATCCGGAACAATAAAGCTGAATAGGAAGTATGCTTTTATATTAGAATTAACTGGACGTTATCGGTTAAAATGAAATGTTATACTAATGGCGCTTTGTGTAGACTACACAAGAGAAATTATTCAAATTAGTTATTTTACAACTATTCAATAATATTCATTAGATAGCAGTGAACAAATATTGCATTAACTTACACCTGTCCAGTAATTAAGATGGTATGCATATCACAAATTTGCCTGTAATATAGTCCGATCGCAGGCGAGTCATTTTCAAATTACTTTCATTTCATTGTATGCTATCTCTGGAATTTTCCACACAGTTTTGAACAGGCAGAAGTTTCAATGAGCCATGCATTTTCTTACGGGTGAAAAAAGTCCAACCGAAATTAATAAACTTGTTTCAAAATATATTTTTAAAGACCAGAGATATTTTTTACATTATTATAACCGGAGTTGGAGGAACAATAGGTGACGTACAGTAGATAATTACTATAACTGTTCGCCACATGTGCTACACTAGTAATGGAAAGTAAAGAGGGCTATTTCAGATAACTTACTATCATTATAATGTTAAGATACAGTCATACAATTTAGCCTCAAGTTAAAATCTAAATATTACTATTATAGTGACTTTTTCAATTCCTTATAAACATGTACATTACATGTATGTGAATTTAAAAATGGAATGGTTCACCCAACTTAACTGATTTAAAAACATATATATTTGAATTTGGGATTCCAAGAAAAAAAATGACTATTTCATTGATGTTCAATATTTGGACTCAAGTCTTAAAAGGACTATTTCGTGTTCTTGGTGATAACTGGTCTAGTATTAAAGCCTTATTTTTAACCTTCGGTAGAGAAAACAGTTTTATAATGTAAAATGTAAGACCTACAATTATTACATCCATGACTGCCCATGTAGTACCATCTATACACTAAGGAGTAGCGCCGTGAACCGCCTAGATACTACAGCTAATGCTGGGTACTCGCCGTCCAAAAACCAGCAACAAACATAAAAAGATGAAAAGAAACTATGAAATTAGTGGCAGCTGGGATAGCGGGTTTCTATCGAGTCCCCGCTGCCTTGGAGTGAAGCTTCGTCTGTAAGCTATCACACACTCATCAAAATGCCGTCCGCCTCAACCGTACCGGCCATTTGATCTCCAGCAAACCCAACAAAATGAAAGAAAAAACGTGGAATTTTCACAAAATTACTTAATTACTAAACCAAAGAAATATTGAATTATATCTTCAATGCTCCCCAAAAAAGTTGTGACTGAAAATAGCCGCGTACATTGCCGGTATTGTGGGTAGATGGTACACATATTGTTCTGGGTTTAATCTACACGGGAGCACAGTGTCATTAACGGAGGAAAAAAGAAAGTGTTCAGAACACATGGCAACCTTACCAATGATTGCATACACTTACCTCAAGTGGAAATATCATATTCACATGGAACAATAATAGGCTAGAAAATACCTACTTAATGGATGAAAAAAACGGTTCCTATTTCTTAGGGAAGTAAATAAAAATAATAAGCAACAGTACATTACGAGTAAATTACCGTGTCGTTGGCAGGGAAGCTACTTTTAGCAGAAGGAAACAATATACTGGAGATAGTATTATACATTACATCACTGTTAGGACTGTGTAGTTCCGTTAATACACAGAATTACAACAGATCACAATGATAAACAAAAATCGATCGCCTCTTCTCACCACGGGGCGAGATGCATCACTGGTCTGGAATATAAATAAAAACGTCTGCCTCATGCATAATTCTTGTTTGTTATAAATAATTCCTTATTTAGGAAAATAATTTATTTAAAACAGCAAGAGTGCACTGCTGGAGGGCTCATGAATATCATTTCAAATCGAGATGAGAAATTTATGACCGACGGAAAGAATTACACTCAAGTTTGACAATATTGTAATTGTTGGAGAGGTTTGAAATAAAAGCACTGCTTGGCACGGGTTTTAATTTAAAGTGACAAAAACATGAAACGTTATATTGAGCTTCTTTAAGATTAAATAAAATTATCTTTTTAGAAAAATGAAAAAAGAGAGAAGAGTGGTGGAACTCCGCCTATCGGTACAAAAGATATAGACAAAGCGTGGCCATTACAGGGCGATTATACCATTAGGCCGTGTAGAATGGGAGGGCATATCTTGTGTCCCTCGTTATACGTGACGACAATACGCCACTACTCCAGTGCACTGTTAAACCGATGTAGCGCACACCCGATAGCTCTGTGTAATGTTATACAACAACACTGTATTGTGACCCTAGGTAATGGCGCACACAACACAGATTCCACGTTGAAATATTAAACCCCTATTAGTAGCCTGGTTGATGGGTAGCCATAAAGCTAGAATTCCCTTTGCCAACTAGACCCTGTGGCACTCCAAATGCCTAAATGAAACCGCCATAAACAGCGTAATTAATCTACCTGTACCACCGCTACCTTACGACGTAATACTAACTCCACACCGGATGCAGGGGGGAATTTCTGCAAGTTTTGCTGTACAGGTAGTCCATATACCCAAGATAACAAATGCGATTTCACTATGTACATATGTAATATCGTGAACGATGGAGTTGAGCGTCTGATCAATTTGGGTGCTTTGTGAAATACTTTCATAAGAGCCTATTTTTTTTAATTTTAAAATATTAAAATCAAATATAGCAGCCATAAACACTGTGTTATAAACCCTAAATGTAACGCACTCGTATAACATTATACTGAGTAATATCCACTTGCAATATTGCAAAAAGGAAATTTCCAAAAAATCTGAAAGACTACCAATAATTTCCGCCAATTTCTCAGTCGCACATGAATTACACACACTCATTTAAAAAGCGGCACTTTTCTCACATTTATACACTTTTAAATCACACAGCTACACAAATACGCTGATACACAAGTTATACCCGTGACCCACTTGGTTTGGGAACATACTTTTGGCCATGTTGTGATTTCATCACTATGACAGGCGCCTGGTGGTACCCTGCAGTTCCTGCACCGTTAAAATTTGACTTCCGCCTGGTGAATCTCCGTGAACAAAAGTTACTCCACGATTTAGCAGTCTTGGAACTCCAAATCCACATCCCGCTCGTGATACCAACCACGAGGGACATGAAAATTTTCAGCATGTACACTTCCACTGTAGGTATGGATTTGTCCAGTGTGCAGTCTTTGTGGTTTTTTGACACACGACATGGCGCGTCCATCGACTGTTGTGTCCAAATAGGAAAATGCACGCGTTCATAAAAATAGCATCCAATTACACACGTGGCTGGTACCGTATACAGTACAGAGAAAACTCCAATTTTGGCCATTAACTTTTCCAGTTTTCTTATATTGGAACTTCCGTCCATTTTCAAATTGTTTCTGATACGGAACAAAGCTACGAATCCGGCTAAAATAAACATGGTGCCGGTAATCAAATACACAATTAATGGTGCTAAAACGAACCCTGTTAAAGCGGCCGGATCCTGGTTGCCCACAAAACAGAGACCGGTCAGTTCGTCTCCGTCCACTCGACGCATGGTCAGTATTATAATGGTCTTAATAGCAGGTATGGCCCAAGCAGCCAGGTGGAAGTAGCTGCTGAGGGCTTCTATTGCTTCCTGGCCCCACTTCCTACCTGCTGCCAAGAACCACGTGACGGTTAGTATCACCCACCACAGAGAACTCGCCATCCCGAAAAAATACAAGATTAAAAACACTATAATACACCAAGTACTTTCCAGTCCCTCTTGAATCAAGAACTCCGTTCCGTCTGGTGTTCTATCACAAGAAATCGCATTAGGACCTGTAATTGCACGGATCATGAACGCCATGGAGTAAATAGCGTAACACATGGATAGGAATATGATGGGTCTCTCCGGGTATTTAAATCTACTGGTATCGATGACAAAGGTTAGGAATGTCATCACTGTTGACAGACAGCATAAGGAAGCCCAAACAATAGTCCAAATCTCGGCAAATCGTTTGTCTTCTTGACGGAAGAAAACGTCAATGTTGCACTTAGGAGCACACGAATTGTTTCTGTCGATCTTCTCCACGTGCACATACCGGTCAGAACACTGGTGAGCTGGAGGTCTAGTTACCCGAACGCCTTTTTCTTTGATTACTTTTGTCTTGGAATTGTTTCCACCAAAATTTGGCATCTTTTTCTCCCTCCAACTCTCTAGAATCTTCCACCATTCAGCACTCTCAGCTTCCGACCCAAACATACCCGAGTCAAACTCGTGGTCCGACGTTACATTTGGAGCCTCCATGCACAAGTTTATAGGAGTCCGGTCGTCCTTGTTGGGAAGTTTGGAGCAGTCCAGCATCGGTGGCCACTCGAAGCTGAACCTACTGAGCAGGGGTTCACACTTAGTCCGTACTTCAATACACATAGAACGACAAACAGGTATGATAAAGGTCTCGTCGTCCATTTCCGTACACATGGGGGCGAACAGTGAACACAGGAAAAAACGCAACAGTCTTGAACAACCCAGTTGTACCAGTGGTAAAAATTGATGAATTTGAATAGCTGCATCTTTTTGGTTTGAATGTCCCACAAGATTTGGCATGCGAGTCAAATTGTATTTCATATCTAAACACATCGGGATAGTAATCCGCTCGCATCTTTGATAGTGGGTTCTTGTGTCAAACGGCGATATGCCGTGTACGGAGCCCGGGACAGCGTAGCAGACGACAAATAGAACACTTAAAATCCACATGTACATTTTGAATAATGCATTCACAAACGTCCGAATATGATTTGATATATCCCAACAGTACTATGTGTTAGTTTGATGAAGTTGTCTTTCACCACCACCAGTAGTAGAGTGTCGATATCTCGACGATAGACACATGCTCTCGGTGTGTGTGCAGAGGGCAGCCAACTGTGGGAGCGATATGGACACACTGTTTATAACTCTGACAGTATATCAGCGGGCCGGCTCGGGCTCGCTCTACTGTAAACACACAACACAGGCAACTAAGACGATCAATGCGCTGTGGAAATCATCGTACGAAATAATTTACCAGCGAATGATTCTCAGTATTACACACACCTACAACGTAAAACAAGTTTTCCTGGTGTAATGCAACCATCCACTGTTCTGAATACTTTTGTAAATAGAGTTTTATCTCCGTATACAATGCGGACTATTTCTTGTTGAACACGTAACATGCAAAATTGATATTCCGCACAAGAGGAGGCGTGGCTACAACCTCTTTGATATTAGCGGAAAGGCAAGTCCCCCCGGTGTCAATCATTGAGAGCTAGTGTTCCGTCCTTGTCTCCGCCCCTTGCTTGATCGTAGACTATTCTCTTTTTTAGTCAGAATGTTACTTTATTGAATTTATGATGAAGTATAGACAGATTGATTATTGTCGTTTGGACGTTATGTAACATACCTAACACACAGATACAAGGAGTATGTAGTTACCGGACAGATACACGGAGTATATAGTAACAGTGAAATCCCAATTTCTTTACGTTAGCTTTATACGAAGCATGTTAGGATGGAATTAGTGAGTAAACTTACAATATTCTTACAGGAAATAAATTGTGTTAACTACTCTGAAACCGGAATAATCCCGATTCCTACAGCAACGGAATTAAATTTGTATTGATTCTTAATTTGTATCGATTGAAGCTTATCAAATAAAAGAAAATAAGTTTTAAATGATGTTTCATGATAAGTTATATGAATGTCAATACATCAGTTTTATCTGAAAACGAAATGCGCCATATAGAAATAAAAGGAAACGAAACATTGGACATTACATTATATCTTCATTTAATTATTTCATTTGTAACTTTAGAGAATGCTAAACAAAACATGTATCTCGGGTTTCTGTTGACAATTTTAGGTACAGTATGTAACTGGTTCAGTACCATTCTGTATACTGGTACCGGAGATGATAACAGAGATGATATTTATGATGATGGGATTTTATCAGCGATTCCTTTTGAGATATAATAAAATAGATACATCAAAATGTCCATTTCAAAGACAACGGAAAATAATTGTGTAATAATGAACCTTTTTGATAATATCACAACATTGTTACTAGATATGTCCATGTACATTAATATATGTTTATTGTTATCAAATAAGTTTATATCAGAATCCAGGTTTCTAAATTGCAGCTTTATCTTAATGTTCTATTTAATGTATATATACATAATGTTTAACGGTAATGGGTCAGGTATAAATGTGGTATCCCCAATGGTATTATACCATAGAGTTGGCAGCTAGCCTGACGTCACTGATGACCTAATTAGAATGCATTGATAATAATACTAAATGCACATTTAGGTTAAACTTATTAATATTGATAGAACCGTTAGATCGGCAGCTGCAGATTAGTATTTCTGTATTTTTGCGATCATATCTTCTTTACCGTGGTCATGCAATGTCAATCTAGCGTCATCAATATTTACTGCACAATAAAAATGATTTCTGGACCTTATCTTTTTTCCACATACATAAATCTCTATCATAATTCAATATTTACCAGATATAAACAATTCAATGAAATTGTTTGTATTGTCGATAAAGCAAAATCCCACAGGGCCATGGGTTTATATTTGTCAGTTATGTTACATGTATATAGATTTCTTTACATCATTTGTTAGAATATGATTTTGTTCATTAAAGAACATGTAGTATTTTCAAATATTACCATTAATAAATAAAAAGTAAATAAAATAACAACTTCATTTGAATGTAATAACGATTTTTCAGTTAAGGATTACACAACGTAAGTGGAACAGACAAGTCTGGGCCCCCATGCATGTCAGTCAACAGTACTGCATTCGGTTATATTTGAAATGTATTTCTGTGAAATTAAAATCGCATTTTTTTTTGCAAGTCACTGTCTATTTAAGTCTGGTCATAAGATGTTTATTTTTAATTTAATACAGTGATAAATGCGTATACTGAATTTACACGTTTTACCATTATCCTCTTATACATAAGCATCCTCTTATGTGTGTTATCAGTTTACTTATATATGTATCATTGTCACGCCTTATCCATGATTCATATAAATAGTGTAGGTATAAATTAAGAACTTACTTTTATAAGTTTGATAACTTCTGTCATTGGCTTCAGAACGAACATCGTAAAAACGGTTCTTGTTTTAACATTTCATATGTTAGACATCTTTAAAACAAAGATCCTTTGAATTAATTGGCAATATTAATTATACGCTGCAGAGGAGGAGGAGGAGGAGGAGGAGGAGTGGACGAGGAGTAGGGACGAGGATGAGGACGAGAGGATGAGGACGAGGACGAAGAGGACGAGGAGAAGGAGGAGGAGGAGGACTTAAAATTGACTGAACAAAAATATTTACAAAAAAACACGAATAAATGAGCGAGTAGGCTTGAGAGCAAAAAAGATATATGTAAAGAAAAAGAAAACTGTGCATGAAAAAATCATGTAAAATCTTTTTAAAGGAGGAAATAAAGAGAATAGGAATAATAATAATAATTAGCAGATAAATAATGCAGTATGCTTCGATGTCGGGTTGAATTGTAAAAGAAACTACCATAGCCCTTCATTGGAAGAGAGATATCCTGACTTATAGTCTAGTCACCCTACGCTAAATCAGCCCAAACCTCAAACTAATTGCAACAGAATTTTTGTTTTTCGTTTTTTGGAATGGTAGTTATCAGTATTATAACAGGAAAAAAGTCTCCTGGAATCAAACTCTGGTAAAATATTTTTTTTGACCTTTTATAGGATCATGAAAATAAGGAAAATCACATATCTGACCACTTTTGAAGTGTAATATCTACCTCTTTTACAATACTGGATATTAAGATTAACCGTATAGCAAGACCAACTGAAATATAGTACAGATTTACCAAAATGTTACAGCAGAGGTACTGCATTGAAAAAATATTGAACTATGAAAATGGCTTAAAAGCATTTTGAGCTTGACAATATTGGCTTTTGTTTTCTATTTAAATGCAGAAAATACTAATTACTTAATCTCAGTGACCTTATGAGTCTATATCTAGCTTCTTAAAACATCATATTTTATCTAATATTAATGCACGAAAAATGGTACTTCACATACAAAAAAAATATCAACCATCTTATTTGACCAAATGTGCCGATTTGGTGTTAACTTATGTCCAAAATAAACAATTTACCTATTTCTGTAACATGTCATTTGAAAAAGGACAAGCAAATGCTTACAAGCATTTTATATCCATTTGTATGTGTGCAGAACTTATTGGAAATGGTTATTTTGGCAAGATAAGTGTACAAATGTGTCCAAGCTCTGATGGTGAAAACTTCATCTCATGCAATTTTGCTTCAACACTGAAAAAATGGCTAAGTCCATGATTCTGAACAACGAAAATCTATATTTTTTGTACAGGTTTTGTCCGATTTACAAATGATTTTGCCAGTTAAGCAATGATAAAACGGATGTTTTTGTGAGATAAATTTGAAGTTAAACATTCGTACAACTTCATCATTTTATTGAAAATTACGTATCCCCCAAATCTGTTCTATTTTGCGAAAGAAAAAAAATGATCTGTTAAAATAATAAGATACGAGTTTAACCTTACTTCCCTTTAATCAAGAGGACCATGTTATGGTGGTAGTTCCTGCCAAAAGATTTAGCAATTGGATAAAACACAAAAAAACCATTCACATTTCTGTTGTCCAAAATCATGGACTTTGCCATTTTTAACGGTTTAGTCAAATTTGCACGAGGTGAGGTTTTCATCAACCTGACTTCATTCATTATTTGGAGATATCTTTTCAGTATTTTGCTGAAGATATTGTTAAAATCTTACATGCATAAATTGAAATATTGTTCAATTGGATTTTAAAACAGTTCCCTGTCAGCCCCGCAGGCCAACTTTGAACATTCATAAATTCTAATTTGTGAAAGAAAAACTTCTAATTTATGAAACTTTAATACACAAATCAGTTTTCAATGCATTTCTACAAAGCCAGTAACGATATTGATGTTGATTAACTTAATATTTTGTCTTAAAAATGCAACAAAAGCTAATATGTTCGACATTTGAATGCTTTTAGCAATATTCATGGTGTGATATTTTTTCAATGCAATGGTTCCTATTTTTTTGTTTTTTGGCTAATCTGTATTGTACACTGATTGTTCTTGCAATACAGTTAATTCCTCCTATTCAGTGTTACACAAGAGGTTGATATTTACACTTCAATGTTGGTCCAGTAAGCAATTATTCTTATTTTCTTGATCCTATTTCGGGCGAAAAAAGCATTTTCCCAAAAGTGGATTTTTGTGGATTTTTTTCTGTTACGCAGTATACACCAACCTGTATGGAAAACCAGAAATAAATTATGTTACAATTAGTTTGGGGTTTATTATAGGATGACTAGACTATTAATTGCAAACAGAGCTAAAATAATGGTTCAATTAGAAAACATCACAGGAGGGTATCAATCTGCGTGTTCATACAACCGCCGCATCAGGTGTGTTCCTCCGCCGATAGTAAATAGTTCCCGGGTGACAGCGCGTTAAAAGATCCCGCCGATAGGAAATTGTATAGACAGACCTATCTTAAAATTATCATATTTTAACCAAAATATGGAAAATTTTCAATCTCTGCGATCTAAACGTGTGAGAGGAATAGTGAGTCGGGTCAGGTCCTGTCATATTTTAACGGTTATCTTCTTAGCTGGGTTATTTTTATTTCTAAAATGTATTTGTCATTGAAATTATAATTTCGACATTTGGTGAAATGTCAAATTTATTTTATGGTTCGTTAGACCATTTGTTAGATTGTCTGTTTATCAGTCATCGCTGTTTCACACAAAGTGCGCATTGCACGGCCTTACACGGTGAGTTCCTGGGATAAATTACCTCAAACTGTTGCAAACGTTAGAACAGCATTTGTGTTGGTTCAATCTTTAAATCTGACAGATTGGTTTCAAACAAAAAACCCATTTTGTCATTGCGTTGATAAATCTAATTTGAATTTAACGATATCCTCATTACTCCTCTTTCGTAACGTGTGACATGTAACCCTATATAATTTTGGATAATCACAATATGTATGTGCACAGTAAATTCTTCGGAAACCGTAGTATACACAGGTCAATAACATT